GAACTCGGCAACCAGGTTACCGTTCTTTTTTTTTTCCGAGCCATTTCACTTCGTGGTAACCATAACAGTGGTCGAGTAGATCATGTTGTGCAGGGTCGAGAACCCTCACTCCGCGCAAGGGGGATGATCGCACCACGTTGTGTTACAATGGNCCTTCATGCGACTCGCCGAATATCTCACGGCGCTTCGCGCTTGGTGATGTGAGAGCCTGGTCCGGTGAGAACCCGGCGTGCTCCATCCCGGCTTTGTAGGGATGCGAGGTTAATGGTCTAACGACTACGGCATGCACGACTATGAGTACCCCCCCCCTCCCTCCCCGAAGTCGCTGCTGCCGGAGAGTTATGCTTGTCGATGGTGGTGTTTCGTTGTGGCTGTCGTCGGCCACGCTGAAGCCGGTTATCCTCCTTGCCTGGGCAACATACCCCCGACGAGGGGTAGTTCCATTGGTTCCACTTTCCAACCAGGCAAAAACAAGCAAACGAACGCTAGGTGGCCTTCTTTCTGCATGCATGTCCCGTCGAATCAACTCGTTGCCCACGCACACATGTGAATTTGGCAACGGGAACCCCCTCCCCCCCATGATGGGTTCGATTCGAAGAGGACACATCCCACCTTACTACCTCTTGTAGATAGGTCCACCTGTATTTAGTACCACATCACGACGGTTCTCTCCATGAGACCCACAAGGCCCAGAGAGGAAAAAACACTCGACGTCATCAGTCAACATCACCAAACAACGACACTACCACACAACACGGTACAAAGAAAGACAGCACCATCGACCATTGAAGACAACAACAACAACAACAACCATCAAAGATAACACACACTACACCAACATGTCAAAAAATAATCGTGCACAACAGAAAATACTAGATTGGATTAGATGGTGGCGCGCGAAAAGAGTCGGCCAGCTGTGTCGTAAAGGGGGAAAAAAAAAGTAGGGAAAATCCTCCCCAAGCGCCCTCACGACTTGACTTTTGAAAGCCACGAGCCTTCGGCATCGGCACTCTTGAGGGAGGAATGAAACCACATCGCTTGCGGGAGCCCCCCCCCCCCCTCCCGGATATACCGACCTACTGTGCCCCTTTGTGTTTCACGTATTTCTGCAGTGCCTCCTCGCCCTCCGACAACTTCAGCGCATCTTCGTGCTGCTGACGCTCGCGGCGCCAACCCCTGTTGCTGCTGCTGCCGCCGCCCCTCGACTCTTGCCGCCTCCGATACCGGTGTCGCCGCGGGTGGCGGACCGACCTCTCGTTACCACCGGACGCCGGACGGGGGCGTAGCCGCCGCTGCCGCCCCCCCCGGCGGCGGCGGCGGCGTATCGCTGACCCGGCACGTGGAACTCCAAGTCGCTGTAGCCGTTGATGGCCTCCTGTCCACGCCCCCCTGCCAAGCCCCCGAACTCTCCGAAGCGGTCCGAGGAGGGAGGGCCATCCAACGACTGGCCGCCGCCGCCCGCCGCTCTCGAGAAGGTTCTCCGGACCATCTCGCACATCGAGGTCGCCGCTCGCCCGTTGCCGCCGCTGGCGCACTCCTTTGCGCTACTACTTCCACCGCAACCCGGCCCGGTTTCTTCCTCAAGGATACCCGCCGCCCGAAGGCTCAACAGGCAGCTGTTCCGCCGCCGGTGCTTCCTGCTCACCATGAGGCCCAGCACCCCGAAGAGTACAAAAGAGGTCACGTAGCTCATAAACAACTAGGACGCAGCGGAGGGTGG